CCCCAAAACCCCAAAACCCCAAAACCCCAAAACCCCAAAACCCCAAAACCCCTGAAGATTTCGTGAAGATTGAAACAATTTTGTTTGGTAATTATCCTCTCTTTCTGCCTCCTCATATTGAGAATAGGCAGCTCATGAGAGCCATTATGAATACGAATCCTGCTGAAAGTGCCAGAATGCCGATGTATGCTACATAAGTGTCAGACCGGGATGGAAGGGTAAAACCAAAACTTACATTCGTAGGAGAGATGTCTGAAAACTGCATTGATGTTTTCAGTTATCCAGATGGACAAAGACTCTGTTTTCTTTACTTTCTGGGTCACATCGGCACTGTATCACTTTTTCCAGTTGTTTCAGTATTGGACGAGAACTGGCTCGACTTCTAGTCGATCACATTCGTGCTGAAGATACTCTCTAAATGCTAAGTCAGGCTTGGATGGTCCAGAGTGCTTACTCTCTACAGATTAATTGCTCATGGTTCAACTCTGCGATCTGGCTATGGTATGTTTTGTATATGTCGTCTCCGAAAAAGAATAAGACCATGAATATTAAAGATAGCAGTAAAATCAGCGACATGATGACTACACAGTTAGACAAAAAGATGCTACCTCTCAGCCAATTTTGGACCTTCTCACTCGCATCTAGCTCATACTCTTGGGAGTTTTGGACTGACTTTATTAAGAAAATTAGTCTCTGGGACATTTCTCGCTCTGAAGCTTGGAGGGATCTTTCAAGTTCAGACTTGAGTTCAACAATCATCTACCAAAATAAGCTAAAAATACCTGGTTGTGTGACAAGTTTCCAGCAGGAGATCCACCATGACCAGTCATAGTCAGTTGAGTTCCATCCTGGGATTTGGCAAGTTGCTTAGTCTCCTCAGGGAGACTTTGGCTCTCTGTTTGCTCGGTCTGTCAGTCCAGGCCACAATCGAGATCCACAACCTGGCTGGCTACTACAAGTTCATCAGTGAGTTTGTAAAGCCGAGACTTGTATCGTAGAAATTGTGGCACTGGCTCTTGTCGGTGCAACGATTCTTTCGGGTTTTGCTCCATTTATAATTAATTCAATGGGCTAAAACTTTTGGGGTTTTGGGGTTTTGGGGTTTTGGGGTTTTGGGATTGGGG